TTCTTTATTATGTTTTTATGTTTATAATCAACTTTCGTTAATTGATTATCGAAATTCGGAGTACAAATGATTTATTATTGCATTGCATTTGTCGAATGCATGGAATAACTTCAGTTTTTTGAAAAGGTGCGTAGGAACAAAGTTCGTATTACCGGTTGAGAAGTTTTTCTCAATTTTCAATTTCGTCGTTCCTGGAGAAAGGCAACATGAAGCTTACGATTATTAACCGGAAAGAAAGAATTGCATGCCATCTTTTAGAGAGCATGCAGCTCTGCTAAATAACTGGCAGTTAAGCAATCACATAACAAAAGTTACCGTTTTGGAGTGAACGGTGAGTGGGTTGCAGTTTTTACCGATATGGATGGATTGCCACTACTGACGGTGACATATTCGATTTACATGAATGTGTTGGCGCAATAAATTTTACTTGAGCATTCTTAGACATAAACTCAGAAACTATCTTCCATCTTCAGATTTGCTGTCTCGAAGTTCTTGCGGATGCGCCAGTCAAAATAACAGAAAAGACAATGCGGCAGGTCATCGCGGTCAGATCGTCATCAGTCTTTCGGGTCGGTCATGTGCTGGATAACTGGTTTCAGTGTGGTCAGAGGTTCGTTCACTACGACATGGTCATCGTCGGAAGTGCGATGGTCGGTTCAGCGATGGCTTGCAGTATAGGTTGTTTATTAGTCTTATTTACGTGGTTGAATCTCTGTGACTCTGCGTCGTTTTAGGTTCAAGCCAGCTGCTCAGATCGAAAAGCGTCTTGCTGCTCGATTCGGCCACGCCCAGCCGAAGTTTGGACACTCCTGCTGAATTCAGTAATCGAGTCTGCGCCATCACTCCTTCCTCTGTCAGGCTGTTTGAAGGTGAGTACTTTAAGATCACCAGAATTCCCATACATACATTTTTCTTCCTTATTCACAAACATTCAGAACAACTAGCATACAATGTCACGCAAGAGATTAGATTTCGCTGTCAGCCCTGTAACGAAATAAATTGTCGTTTTGGCTGAAGACGTCTGGTACGTTCAGGCGTAATCCCCTTGTGTGATATCGTACGCTGTGCTTGATTCTCTTAAGGATTTGTGGTGTTACCGTGGCAGTTGTTCTCTTCTTCAGAGCAAATTGCAGCTGTCCATTGTTTTTTTTCTTTCTTGCATTTATGTTTGCATATATCTTCTATAATGGATCAACTCAGCGTATCGGTTGCCTTCCCCGTGATTTTTCGCTGTTTCATAGTTGCCAGCTTATGTGCTTTGTCCGTCTGTGACCTTAAATTCTCACTTCAAACCGGACTATGGCCCCTTCCTTTCGTATGCCGCTCCAATGACTTCTTTAACGCTACTTACTGGAGGGAGAATTTTGTCGGTACTCTGCATTTTGTTACGTGCTGCAGTTTTCTGACACCCTCAGTTTGTCTTTTCATGGCCGTTTCTGTAGCTTGCAATTTTCTGAGCGACTGTTATGTTCCGTATTTCACTGACTATGCGCAAAAATTTTCGCCTATTAGTTTGTTTCACACGAGACATGTTTTTTACATCTTATGCATGTGTCTAATTGAAAACATTCCATAATAAGGTTGACTTACTACCATGTAAAATTATGGCGTATTAAAATGACAATCCTTTTAAACATTTTTCTCAGAATCGAATCTAAGATTCGTTCTGCATGGGGTCTGCTGACCACAGTTGGTATGCTGTTATTGCTAAAGGGCAGCAAGCGTGCAACAGAACAGCGATATAAAACCCCCATAGAGCGCAAATGGAACCAGTCACTAATCTCATCCTGAGCTGTATCTGTGAAATGGAAGCCGAAACATCGATAGCGGTATGCCATTCTAATGAATCGTAGCTTTATACTAGTACCTTCGTTTGTATGCTAGATCATAATATTCTGCGTTGTATTAATTATGCACGACTTTAGAAGAAATGGAAAATTACCTCTGTTTAGGCTAGTAAGACAATATCAGAATGCTGAAATCGTGAGTTGAACATAGGCATGTTTGCGTTCCACCATGAACATTTTTCTTGGGATGACCAACCCAGTTTTTCGAGTCTATATCTTCGGCAAATTCGACCTTATTGTATGACAGCGACATACGTTCGCTTACGACAGTAGACAAACGTTTACATTATTATTAACAGTCATGGGAGGGAGGTAAGGGGGAAAGGATGTTGGAGATTTCGCTCCGCGGTTTACATCCCATTACGAGACGGCATCCTTCAGTGGAGCTCCTGCTACGTGTTGTGAAAGGTGTGCCAGAGCTTAACAATTTAATGAATTTCATCATCTGGCAGCCTAATATTGCATAAGCAATCTCTCGGCTTGACAAGCAACAAACCCAACGGATTATTCTCAGAACCAAACATGTAAAACAGTACGAAATAAGCCAAACGGTCCTTATGAGAGTCATGGAGAAGAGCAGAGAAGCTTAACGTTCTTTAAAAGGGCCATAGAATTGAAGCCGCCGGTTGCGCGCTCAGCATTTTATAGCTGAGCGTCGAAGGCATCTCCAAAGCAGAATGCGAATATCTATCGAGAACATTAAAAGAAAACTGGATTGGCGTCGCCATTCTGCTAGAGATGCCTATCGAAGATGACTGCAAAGTAACCAGGTACAAGATTGCTGTGTTTAGTTTGGCCAGTGGCTTCTAACACCAATATCGTCAAACACGGTTTAACTGTCTATGCCAGAGTAGACCTTTATGATATCGAGGTGATAAGTAGTAGCGAAGATCGGATCTGCGAACAGATAACCGAGCTAAATACGTCCTCTATACGTCTGCACGGGCAGATTAAACTACCCACATGACAGTGCAGAAAGAATTTTTTCTAAACCTTGGCGTTTTCTTTAAAATACGCCCTCCGTCTGCCCCATTCACTCCAGAGGAAATTAACGTGTCACTGGTGGCCACGAAAAGCAAGAAAGCTGCTGGTGTAGATGTAATGTTCCCGGAATTCCTTAAGAACTTTGGTCCAAACGGCCGGCAGTGGCTGGTCTCTCTTTTCACGATAATCCATACAACCGAAGAAATTCCATCCTCCTGGCGGCGTCCCAAAGTCGTCACCTTACTAAAGCCAGGGAAACGTTCAGAGAAACCAAACAGCTATAGACCTATCTCTTTACTGTGCACAACTAGGGAACTGATGGAGCAAGCTTTGTTGACGCGGCTTCCTCCTCTAATTGAAACCACCCTCCCAGTGGAACAAGCTGGCGTTCGATCTGGAAGCAGTTATTGCGTGCAACTGCTTCTGCTTATCAGCAGGAATGATTCAAGCGGAAACAAAAAAAACAGGAGTGGTTTTGATCTGTCTATCATCATATCATATCATATCTTATGATAGTTTCTGACGCGATGGTCTCATTTGCAAAGTTTCTAAAATGATCAGCTGCCAGAATAAGTGACCGCTTGGTCGCAGACGGTCAAAGAAAATTGCAATTTCAGATACATCCTTCAAGGGCCACTGTGGGAAACTGAGGCCTAAATGAAAGAGCAGTGGCGGAAGTATTTTGACCAGGGTGCCCTCTCTAACTGTCGCTTGGGGGGGGTTCGACTAAGCAAATCAAGTCGATTAATTATGGTTTTTGCTGTAATTTCAATCTGACCACATACTGGTGATTGAAGTGATCAGTCATAGAGGTAATTACACAGCTGACAGTCAGTCCGTTGTTGTTTCGTTTGTAGACATCGGCGTGTGGTCAGCGCTTTGCTCAAAGCGTTTGAAACCGGTGCATCGGATGCATGTGTGGGAGGACAACTCGAAATCGTTGGTCCGCTTTGAAAATCCTAGAGGCGACCAATATCCGATGGCCTACATCATTGAAAATCCGCTAATGGTCGCTGCTTTTTTGCAGAAGATTGATCAGATGCCAAACATCACTGTGAAGACTGGCACAAATGTGAAGTCCTACAGGTATTCTAAACGTTTATCAACGATAATTAAGTTAACTTTGTTTTTAATTAATAGTCATGCATTGACTATGATCAGAAAGCTAGATAATCCAATAAATTGAAAGGAAGCATCGAACGCTGAGTTTTTGTAAAGATGTGTGGAATACTGTCCACTATAGGCGCTGTTTGTGATAATTTTCACCCATAGAGCTACATGCAACGTTGCTGTTCATTATTCATTGCCATCAGCCAGGTTGCCTTATCTGCAATATATATTTATGACATCAGGTCGGCTGTGTGGTTGCTATGACAGTTTCGTTTCCTTCTTGAGATCGTTCTTCTTGAATTGTCGATATTCAAATTCACCTTCTTTTAGCTGCAAATTCGACCTGTTCTAATTGAACGACACTGATAGACCAGTAAAAAACTGATGAATTTTTTGTCCTTCATTGTTCCCTCAAGTAATGAAATGAATCTTCTAAATAACAGCTAAAAGATTTTTGTCTTGTCGTCTAAGAGTTTTTTTTTAACACAGTAACTGTAAGCACGGCGAATTTGTTCAGGAACCAATTCTGACTATCACAGCGATGTTTTCAATCACTTAGGCTAATCTGCTAATTGTCATGGTTTTTCTTAACATACTCTTGAATTTTTGAGACTTTGTTTCAACAGCCATTGAATTAAATTATTCTTCCTACAGAGATTCTGGTGTTCAGTGATGCCATCATGAGTTCAAACAGTAGAAGATGTATTGTAATTCATCATCACTTTTCTTGTTTTTGAGCAGTATTTTTGGCGGTCTTTAGGGATTACGGTAATAAATATGGTAATCTTCATTATAATCAAGGTTTTAACTCTGAGCCTGTTGCTACATCTGCTGTATATTTGTAAATTATTTTACATTTTGTCCTTTAGTTTTCATTGATATTATTCATGTTATAGACTTTCTTCAGACACATCCGAGAAGGCCGAAGTTTTGCTAGAAGATGGGTCAGTAATTTCGACAGATCTCTTGGTGAGTGAACTGCTGAAGTAGGTCGCATCAGTGTTATCAGCATTCAGGTCTAAAATTATGATTTTACACCAGGGAAGTGTGCCATGAAAGACACGAGTTAAATTTGTAATTTTGCCTTACTACGGAGAGAATCCAAAGATTTATGTTAGGTTCATTATTTCCCAAATAATTCTAATTGACTGAAGGTCTGGACATAGGCTGTCTTTCTGTGTTCACTGTTTGTTTACTGGCTGAGTTCCCATAGCAGCATACAGTTATTGAGTGATATTAATCTTAACCAGTCAGTCGGTTTCGATGATGGCATATTCTTTCGAAAACACCTGCGCCAAGTCATTGTTGGCTGTCCCCGGGATCTTCGGCTGGTCGGTTCAGCATGCAGTAGCTTCTTCGCCTTCCTTTCTAGAAGCATTCGAAAGACATTGCCAAAGTAACGTAGCTGAGCCTTCTCAGCCTGGAGAACCAGCGTACATGCAACAAGTCTCTTTCAAATATTTCGACTCCAGACTGTGTCGAGATGAGTGAGCCCACGAATTCGTCTCAGAAAACCCATTTCATCCTCTTTCGCCCGAGATCGAAGTTCTTCATTCATGAAAATACAGACAGCCTGGCCTTCAAGCTCAGCTCTGCTTCTCTTTTCAAGCACGACCCCATGAATTTCCCTACTTATTCCACTGCTTCTCCGTTTATCTGCAGAAAACAACAGGTAGGAGTACGAGAACGCACTAGGCTGTTCGCTTTAGAAACGTCCACACGCATGCTGGCTACATCGCACTTGGTTGCTAACCTTCCTTTGCTGACATCCAACCCTTTGGGTCAGTTTCAGAATATGCCAACAAAACAAGATCGTCTGCAAACAGAAAATTTTTTTTCGCATCTGTTACCCTGGTACACTTGTCCCTTGGCTGTGCCTAACTATTGTATCTTAACTATTCTAACTCAAACAGGATAGGGGACAGGGCGCAGCTTTGGCGAAGATCAGTGCCAACGCTGAAAGGCTTTGACTTAACGCCATTTTCTCTGACGCAGCATCTGCTATCAGCATATGTTGAATGGATGGCTCGTAGTATCGGGCCTTCGATGCCTTATGTTTGCCCGCACGCCGATGGATTGTTGTGCGGGATCCGGTCATAGGTTGTCTCTAGTTCAATAAATCACATGTAAACCAAATGAACGAAGATTTGGAAAAAGGTGCAGCGACCTGACCTGAAGTCAGACTGATCTTCTTATATATTGGAGTCAATTATACAGCAGCGTCAACGTTGTATAGACTTTTCCGAGGAAGCGAAATGAGGTAATACTCTGATAATTAAAGCACTCCGTATGGTCTGAGTAAAAATACAAACAACCCATTTTCCAGTTCACTGCTGTCTTGCCCGTTGCCGTTGTAGCTTAACACAACATGTATTGCTACAATACACCGTGTTCGCCAAATGCTGTAAACATCGTAGAGTGGTTTTCACCGACTGCAGTAACCTTGTGACATTTCAAGCCAGCGTTTGTGACTATATTTACTAAAAGATTAAAATCCGTCGCTGATGCTCTTCGCGCAGGTCTTCCCTCGTTGCTCGGGGTTAAGGAGTTCCTCAGTGTACTCCCTCCATCGCCGAAGAATGTCATCATCCTTGGTAAGATGGTGTCCAGACCTGTCCTTCAAGACTCATAGACTACTCTTCTAACCTCGGAGCCGGTAGATGGCCTGTCACAATACCTTGTTTGCCGTCTGGAATTTTGGCTCCAACACCTCACCAAACTTCTCCCAGTAATCAGCTTCAGCAAGCGCCACTGCTTTAGCTGCCGCCTTGGCACTTCTACGATATCGCATGCGAGTGGAAGGCTCTTTGTTTCCAAGCCATTTCTGAAATGCAGCCTTTTTTTTTAATTGCTAGTTGTACTTCTCTGTCTACCGGAAAGTTCTTTTCTGACCTCCAGGCGGCAGGCTAACCCGTTTAAATCCGCAGCATTCAGCAGTAGCTTCGAGTATGCCATTCTTAAAGAGCTGCCACTCGGTTTCTATATTAGTGCACATCATCGAAACCTGTTTGTAAGGTTAGCCCTCGTGTCCGTTGAAAATAATGTTTCCCATTTAAGTTTTTGGTTGCTACTGCCACCAGGTCTTCGTGTTTACAGCCTAGAGCAACAGCGTGATAATTGGTTGACGGTTCTGCGTCTCTCTTAACATCACACCCATTGCAGAGCATCGTTAGTCAGACGGTGCTGTTATCAAATCGGTCATCATTTATTTGTCAAGCTTCCCCATGCTAGGTGTACTGATGAACGCTTCGGTGCTAGAAGAAGGTGATCATAACAAGACAGTCCATTTTTTGCTCAAAAACGCAATAACTTCATGTCGTTATTCCTGAAGTCGCCAAGGCCGTTCTTTCCAATCACTTCGTTCCACTTTTCAACGTCTACTCTGACGTGCGCATTAAAATCGCCCATGATTATGAGGGACTCTGTATTCGGCACTGCGGACAGAGCACAGTGCACTTCCTCAAAGAAGGTTTCATATTCTCTCTCCAAATTTGGCGCATAGACCTGACCAAGGTCAGTGCTTTAGCCTGTTGTAGCTTCAGTTGTAAGATTGCCACCCTTCCGCTGACAGGCTTCCAATCAATGATTCTGTCTGCGAGGTTGGGTTCTGCCAGAATACCAACACCGAACTGAGCGCGAGCCATGTTGTCGATACTTGAGAGAATTGCTTCTGCCCTCAGAAGTTGGTAATTTCAAAGCCTTGCCGCTTTGTTGACGAGAGTCCAACTATGTCGAGTTGGTATCTTGGAAATTAATCAACTAACTCCTGCTCTTTCCCTCTGAGAGGGGATATGATTTAATATCTGACCCTAACCTGCCACTGTATGTGTCGTTCCAGTGAAACCATGTCTGACGTGTTATAATGGCATCGTGTTGTCTGTCTCCATTGTTCAGAATGGGTAGCTGCTCCGTTACTGATTTGTATCTTCTTCGTCGTATTGTCCATCATCGGCAACCGTTGTGATGCAAGGCTCTGCACTCCGGCTGCCAGAAAGCGTGAAGTAATTTTATATTGCCGACTTTTCGCCACCTGCCGCAGTTTCCCAAAGACCTGAGTATCCCTTGATAACTGGAGCGACCACTGAGCCAGTACAATTTTGATAATCGTTGTGGGGGTAGATGGCTAAGTTTTACGGAGACTCGACAAGGCCTCCAGCCCTTTTCGTTTCTCACTGAGTGTTGAGACCGGTGACAGCGGAGTTTGTTTATGTCATTGTAATTATTTACCTGATCTATATACATAAGCATTCATGCTGCAGTGACCAGACATCCTGTATTTTTGTTGCTGACCACAGGCACACTAGTTCGCTACTCTATAACACCAACGGTTCTTCAAAATGTTACACATGCCACTTTACTAGGAAACTTTAGATCGTAGTCATGAAGTTTCGGTGGGATCACTGTCTCGAAGGCATACAGAAGAATGAGAATAATAAATGTTACACAGGATCAGTGAAAAGCAGATGCAGATCTTAGAACTTCCTCTTATCCGCTTATAGGAACTGCTTCGGTTAATATCTCTTTGTAGTAGATGTCGGGTGTGAACAGCTAAAGCCGTTCTTGCAGTAATCACGTTCTGTCTAATCGGAACTTTCTGATCACTGTGATGGAACAAAATATTCAGCATTCATCACGGTCATTATCCGAGGCAGCTTCAATAACTAGGGGCTACGTACATAAATGGAGCATTATGCAGCAACCTTTCTAGTTTAATTTTAAGGGAACTTACCTGAAAATTCTGACGCAATGTATCCAACTTAAGATTCTACATGTTCAGTAAACACAGTGGAGTTTCTCGTTACCTCCCTTATCTGATTTGCTATTTTTCTGGCAAATCTCACGAGTTTGCTCTATGTCTTTTGAAGGGGAAACTGCAGTAAATGAATTTCTTAGTGTTGACGATTTATC